CGAAAACGGGTTATTTGGCTTATTTGCGCTGGTGTGCGTGGATTCTATTACGTGGGCTTGGTATTGTTGATGTCCTGGCACCTGGCAGCATTGAAAGAAAGTTCCAGATGTCACAGGGTTAGGGCTATATTAGCGGATTTGGTGGGGTCATAGTTCAAGTGAGACAGATGGCATAGTACGTGGATGTGTTCTCTGCACGATATTGTCCTTGCAGGTAGTATATCACGACCCCTCCAGCTGCATACCTAAGGTATCATGCCGTTGGCATTGGGCGGCCAATACTGCTGTGTCGCTCTTGCTCTCTGCGGAAATAACGCTTTGGCTTGTCGACTCCAGGGAAGGGCCAAGTGACGCGTCCAGCGTGGGCAAGACAGCACACGCGATTGAATCGATTCATGAAATATTCAGTCTTCTGACCTCTCATTTGTGCGGGAGAGCAGGCCATGATGCTCGGTCGCGCAAGGCCCCGATTGCGTTGCTCGACTGCTGCGCTCAGGCGAGCGAGCGATTTCATTGCCAATGGCGTTCGCGTTGGCCGACTTGGCCCCGGGTCATGCATCGTCAACCACATCACCGACCACATGCGCCCGACCGCCGGTCAAGGTGCTCGCCTGACCCAGATCGCCTACTATTCGACTCCGAAAATGCCCAACGTGGACCTCTCATTCATGCCTGTCTCACCCAAGACGACGGCTGTCCACACCCGGAGCAATGCCCACTCCAGCACCGTCGACCCTCCGCCGCCGAACAAAGCGAGCGACATGGACAGCCCTAAGGTTGCTCTGCGCTTTAAGTCGCCGGCATGGCTGGCTATAGCATTGGGAAACCAGAGCCACCGTCTTGCCCGGACGCCCGTCATCGACTTGACTCGAATCAAGGGCCGCGACTCGGACTCAGAGGACGAGAGCGTGAACGCAACCGACAACATGAAAGTCGTCGTGGATGAGGTCGACCCGCACACCGAGATTCTCCACATTGTTGGAGACACGCCAACCAACGAGGAATAGGAGATCCTGGGACACCACTTCACCAACGTGCGGTTCCTCAAGGTCGCCACCGGCTGGGGTGAAGACTGGAACGACGACAAGTTTCCCCTGGACTGGCCTCTAAAGCTACTTGTCATTGCCGATGCCATCACCGAGCGCATCACAACACCCTCCATCATGGAGGGCAAGATCCAGAGTCTTGTTCTCCTCTTCACCGCCGCTCTACGATTTGAGAGCGCAGATAGCAAGGAACTGATGAAGGATGCCGAGCCACTCGATACTGTCTATCCGCCCATCAAGGAGGAAGACCCCGAACCCCAGGCAGACGTGGAGCCATCAGCAACACCTCCGTCCCTGACTGAGGGCGCCATGCCCTCAGGAGCCTCGCTCCCAGCGCCAGGAGCAGAACCTCCAAAACCCCAACAACTGAGCCAAGGCCAAAGTCCCAAGGAGTCAAGGTCTACTCGCTCCCCTACGAATGGCACAAGTGGTTCAGCAACCACTACAAAGGCAAAAATCCCACCTTCTCCCCAGACCCGGGCCCCTCCCCGCCATCCGCAATGCGACACCTCCAAATCCTCGGCAACGACGCGCTGCAAATGCTCTTCTACATGGCCCTCGCTAAATTCCACCTCCTCGCCTCCCTCTCTTCCCTTGCAGTCTACTCCCCAGGTCGCCACGACATGCAGCACATAGCCCCCACACCCCACTCCTCTTCCTCCCCTTGCTCCAAAACCTCAAAACCCTAAAACTCACCCTCGGCAGCGCCATGTACACCACCCTGCTCGCCTGGGTAAAGGTATTAGAGAGCGATGATGATGATGACGATCTCTTTCTGCACGCCTTCCTCCCGCCGGACCTCGAATTACTGCACTTCCGCGGCCCCGTGTCCATGGCGGCGCACCTGGACGCGTTTGCCGCCGCGCTTGCGCAGCACCACACCTTCCTGTCGCGGCTGCGGCGCATCAGCTTCGTGTTGGACCTGCCCGACAAGGCGTCCGGCTCGCCGAGGGAGGCGTCGCTGGAGCAGCTGCGGGCGGCGCACCAGGCCTGTCGGCGGTTGCTGCACGCGACTGTGCGCGAGAGGAGGGCGGTGGTGGAGGGGTTTGCGGAGCCGTGGGTTGAGGAGCATGGCGGGTTGTTTTGGGAGGTGGATGATCGGTGGGGGGTGTTGGATGAGATGGCGGCCAGGGGGAGGTGAGGACCGGAGGGGGATGGTGGATGGGCGTATGATTGCGCGTGTAAGATCACTGACGTTGCTCACAGGGCTCCTTGTTTTCCAGTTATTCGTTAGATACCCAGCTCATTCTTACCTACCTTACTAACTCCCAGTTCCCCTCGCTCAATCCCCATCAGAACCTCCCGACCTGCTCCGTCTCGCTACCATACCGATAGTCCCCGCCATACAATTGAGCATCATCTTCAAAATACCGGTTGTCATCCACGCCGCCGTCGAACCCCTCCCCGCCATACCCCTTTCCCTCCACGCCATCGACATTTGCGTCACGATAACGTATCTTATCAGCGAGTCGGTCATATCAGCGGGTCGGTCACTTTCTCAGCGCGACGCGTCCTCCTACACTCAACATCAATCTCCTCGACAACCCAACATGCCTCCTACTTTGAAGGAAGCCAGGATAATCTTGGCTCTTGAAGCTATTCAAAACGATAGCAAATTAAGCCTCCGAGCTGCAGCCAAGCTTTACAACATACCATTCTCAACCCTCCGTGACCGACACGCTGGGAAGCATGCACGACGCGATACGACGCCCAATTCGAAGAAGCTCACTCAACTAGAAGAGGAGGCTATTGTTTAATATATTATTGAGCTATCAATGCGAGCTTTTCCACCCAGACTGTGTGGTGTGGAAGATATGGCCAACCAACTGCTACGTGCACGCGGCATGCCCCCTGTCGGCAAGCTCTGGGCACATCGATTTGTCAAATGCCAGCCAGAGCTTGGAACGCGCTGGACACGTCGATACGACTACCAGAGGGCCAAGTGCGAGGATCCAAAGGTCATTAGCGAGTGGTTTGCCCTCGTACGGAACGTCAAGGCCAAGTACGGTATTGTGGACGATGACACCTACAACTTCGACGAGGTAGGGTTCATGATGGGCATCATCTTCGCGGGCATGGTGGTTA